GAGCCCGATGCGGGACTCGATCCCGGGACTCCAGGATCATGACCTGAGCCGAAGGCAGTTGTTTAACCAACTGAGCCACCCAGGCGCCCCGGGAAGGTAATACATTTCAAGAGCAGCAAATCAAAACGGAGACATATCTGTTAGGATATGGCAGAAGTCCAGGGGAGGGCAGAGGGTCTTGATTTGGAGCCAGGACAGCCAAGACAGAAAGGCATGCTGTGTAGGGGAGCCTGGAGGTGGCAGATCTGGAGGGCCCAGTGACAGACCAGCCTGCCAGCGACCGTTGGTGCTCACCCGTACCCCGTGACTGAGTTCTCACCAATGGTAAGTAAGTGGAGGTGATGGACTGCTCTCAGAGGCGCCCCTCACAGGTTCCACGCCCGTTCTCTCCCTCTCCCCTCTCTGCAGCATTCTTGGGAGGCCACAGGTTGAGGGTGGCAGTGTTCTAAGATGGAAGGAGCCCGGGGCTCTGAATGACGGTGCAGAATCAAGCTCCGCCTCCCGCCTCTACCAACCACGCAGGCCTGTAACCCGTGTGTGCAAGCAATAAAGGCTGTTGTGCTGCGTCCCTAAAATCTTAAGGTCTTTATTTTTATTATTATTATTTATTTATTTTTTTTTTGGTTACTGCAGTGACATCTAGGCTACCCTGACTGATGCAGTGAAAGGGAGAGAGGTACCAAAGATGGCACCTGGGCTTCTGGCTTGAGTGTCTGTGTGGCTGGAGGGGTCAGCCTTTCCCCACAGTGGAGAGAAACCGGATGAGAAGCAAATGGTGGAGGGCATGAGGCAGGCTGGAGCTCAAGGGCTTCATCTGGAGTGTGTTCAGTCTGAGATGGTGCCAGGAGCCAAGTGGAGGTGGATTTCCAACAGGCGGTTAGATACAAGTCCGGAGTGCAGACGGGGAGTCGGAACAGGGGGAAGAGAACCAGGGGTGGTCGGCACAGGGATGCTAGGTAGGACCCATCGTGGACCGGGACAATGGGTCTAGTGAGAGGGTGTGCACTAGAGAAGAGAAGAGAATAAGGCTTGGTCCCAACAGAAGAAGGAATGCAGCATTCAGAAGAGGGGCTGGCAAAAAAGACTGAGGAGGGGTGGCCAGAAACCCGGGGAAAACCAGGACAGGTTAGCGACACAGCAGCCAGGAAAGCCTGCTTCAAGGAAGACATGGTCAAGTGCATCAGTCCCTGTTCCCCTCCTCTCCTCCCCCGCAAAAGAGGTTGAAAATCAGAATGGCTCTTCTCCCCTGGGAGAGCTCTCTGCTTTTACACCCCCAAGTCTCCTTATTCACCTGTCCTCTGGTTCCCCAATTCTACACGAAGTCCACCTGTGCCCTCCTGGCTCAGTCTGTTTCCCGCCCCCCGAAAGCCTGAAAGCCTCTACAGAACCTGGTGCGAGGAACCCAGGCGCAGCAGGGATCTTGCTCAGGGGAGAGTGCTGTGCACACTCTGGGGGTGTGGGAGGGTGCTGCTCACACTAAGACACTAGACACAAAGCAGCCAAGGAGACGCAGTGCCTTGCGACAGCAGGAGGGGAAAAGACCACTTGGGCACACTGAACAGAGAGAGAACACAAGGACCATTAGCCTCAACTGGAACAAAATAAGGAGCTAATCGCAGGTTGTCATGGTGATGATTTTGTCCAGTTCCACACAGTGTTCAAAACCCATGAGACCAGGGACACCAAAGGGACTCAGACAAAGACGCAGTCCTCCCTTTGAGGATGCTCGGGTATTGTTAGAACAAGCCCCTCATTTTAGCATCACAATTCAAGGGTAAAAAAATATGATTCCATTTCCTGAAATTTACTTCCCAGCCAATATTTCCGATCCATAAAATGGGGACCAGCTGTGAGCTCAGTGCTGGGGGTGGGGGGCGGTGGGGAAGGAATGAAGATGCAGTCCTCTCCTCTGGAAGTCAGTGATCCTCAGAGTGGGGTTCCCAGCCCAGGAATACCACAGGGAACTTGCCAGAGATGCAGATGTTCATCTGCACCACTGAGAGGCACCCCACTCAGACCCACTGAGTCAGAAACTCTGGGGCTGGGTCCAAGAATTCTGTGTTTTAACAGCCTTCCAGGAAGTTCTGATGCAGGCTTGAGTCTGAGAACTACGGGACTAAAGGAAAACCAGTTTGGACAGAAATGGAACCCTTTGTCAGAAGTGAGGGTGCCTGTGGACCCCACCCCTTCCCAGGCTGAGTGCCTGTTCTGTGGCAGAGTGGCTGGCAGGTGCAGTCAAGAAGCCGATCTTGCTCCAGGGCTGGGGAGCCTGGGCCCAGCCCTGAGGTGGCCCCCCCCTCCAGGCCTCTCTTCTCGTGGTGAGAGTGGAGGCAGGGGCTGGGGCGAAGCACTCTGCACCCCGGACAGGGCTCAGAGGCTGGGGCAGAATAGCAATGAGCAGGCTTCCTCATCTTCCCTCCAAATCTCCTCCCTCCTGCCCCCGCCAAAGCCACCGCAGGCCTCTTTCATCTTCTCCGGAGTAGGGGGACCCCCAGTAGGACCACACACAAGCAGCTCCGCTTAAATGCAGGGAAGGCCTCCAGGCTGACGGAAGCCCATGGTCCTGCAAAGAAGAGGCGCTGGCCGGACCCGCCCCGCGCAGGCTGGCTGCTCGGGCTGAGCAGCCCGTGCCTGGGACCTGTGTGGGACCGGCGACTCTTAAGAGTGGAGACCCCGTTCCCACGCACAGGACTCCTTTGTCCTTCTCTCTGGACACAAGAGCACTCCACACAAAGGGCACCCCCCCGGCTGGGATGGCAGACCTGGGTCCTGTCCCAGAGCTGGCTCCAGTGCTCCGTGTGACTGAGCCAGTGACTGCCACGTCTAGCCTCAACCTCTCTCTGGGTCACATGACAGAGCTGTTGTCTCTAGTCCCATTTAGCATTCAGGGGCTTGGGATGAGATACAAAACCACGAAACGGATCACCTCAGTAACGGTCCCAATACACATCTAAAACACACCAAGGATGTTGTGAACCAAGCCACGCAGTCAGCAAGCTTGCTTTCACTCTGCCGGCCTCACCTGGCTTTTCTACCCTCTTTAGCTGGCTGCGGAGCTCTGGTCCCACCCCACCCCCCACCCCCGCATCTCTCTGTTCCTTGGCTTCCACCCCAAAGGCCACTCTGTGCATTACCATCCCATGTTCTCTTTGGGGTGTCCCAGGGACAGGGTTTAAGAGGAAGCAGGTGCCTTCCTGGGAGCACCCCCCCACCCCAGCCACACACACTGCAGCATGGATACACCTCACCTCCAGCAGATGAGTGTCCTCATTCCAATGCACTCACTTCATTGGATTTAAAAGATTATGGGGAAATATATAAAATACATAGAAATACATTTTTCAATTATAGCAAAGCATGATGGTGAGTTCGTAACTCACAGTTACTAGAACAAGCGGAGAGATTTTCTTTTTCCACTTTCAAGTGTGCTTCAGGGACATCAGCCAGCCTCTGGCCAGAGTTCTGTGCATGGTGCATGTGCTTAGGCACAAAAGGGGCAGGGGAGGGGCAAAGAAGGGATGCGGGGGGAGGGCTGGCCTCTCAGGTCACCCCAGCACAGCCTGGCAACACCATGCCAACTGCCAATTCTCCTTGTCGTTCCCATTTGACTCTTGGCTAGGAATGAGCTCCCAGCCTGGCTTACCTGCACCCTGGGGGCTGCCCTCTGGTCCAAGATGGCATGAGCATCCAGTGGATGCTGTCCTCTGGCCACAACAATGGCTCTCAAACTTGGATATGCTTTAGAATCATCTGAAGGCTTTTAACACATGCCTTCAACAAACTCCACCACCAAATGCTGATCACGCTGGTCTGGGAAGGGCCTGGCCATTGGCATCTTTAAGTGCTCCTGGGGTTCTAAGGCGCTGCACAGTGCAAGGAGATCAACGGCTGCCTGGATTTCACAAGCAGGTTTAATACGAAGCCAAGAGGCCTGGCTCAACTGCAATGACAAGGATGCCCCAAGGACCTTTTGGGAAAGGGAGACAGAGCTCCAGGTGGGGGATGACCCAATGGAGGGAGGAAGGGCACAGTGAGTACGGTGGGCGGGACTGTAACAACTCGCACTTAAACACCTGAATGAATGAGTGAATGAGTGAGTGAATGAATGCGTGAGTGAATGAATGAATGGGTGAATGAATGAGTGAATGAACAAGTGAATGAGTGAGTGAATGAACGAGTGAGTGAATGAATGAGTGAGTGAACGAATGAGTGAACGAACGAGTGAATGAATGAGTGAGTAGGTCAGTGGATGAGTGAATTTGTTCCACAGGCCTGGGGTCCCTCACCCACGTCCGGGTTTGAGGGTGACCTGTGGTCAGCCATGACTCACAGGGCCCCTGGGACCCTCAGCCAGACCCTCGCTATAGCCCACTCGCACCCACCCTAATTCAGGGTTCCACATACAGGGAGGTACCCATTCCCCTCCCCCACCTCTTCCTGCTGGGGCTCCCTCAGCCTAGAATGTTCTCCCCACTCATCCAGCCCTCAGCTCTCACCTGCCAGCAAGTGCCTGCTTGTCCCTAAGTCTCACTCAGGGGTTTCTGCCTAGCTTCTCATTGGAATCTCCTGGGGAGCCTTTAAACATCCTGATGGACAGCGGTACTGATTTAATGGGTTTGGATTGTAGCTTGGGTACATTTTTCTAAAAGCTCCTGGTGATTTCTGATGTGCAGCCAGGTTTGAGAACCAAGGATCTGGTTTAAATACCACCTTTTCCGCGAATCCTTGCCCACTTTCCCCACAGAGAACTCCTTCTTCCTCTCCCGAGCATCACTTGGGGGTGAGACCCCCCCCAACCCAGCATTGGCCTGCCCCTTCCTGGGAGGGTGTCCATCATTATATCTGTCTCACTCATGCTTCTGAGAGGACACCCCTGTGGCCAGGCCCTCATGTCCTCTCCCAACCCAGGGCTCCCCAAACCGCTGTGCAATTAATCTGTACGCAGCTCCCCAGGCCTGGTTCCCACCCCACCTCTACTCTTCCCTTCTGGATGCGTCTCATTGCTCAACCCCCAGTGTATCTGAGACCTGCGATGCAGGAGCCACAGCCCTAGGCTGGGAGGCAGGACACCTCAGCCACCCACTCCTCCCTGTGTGGTCTAACGAGTCACTGCCCCCAGGGCGCCCCTCTTCCCACCCCCTCGACTAGAGGCTTGGACCAGATATTCTTTTGGTCTCCTGCAACTATGCCCATCTGGGCCCCCTGCTTAGCTTCCCTGGGTGGTGGGGCCTAGAATCCACTTTTGGCCTTGGTTAGGGCTGAGCCAGCGCTCGGCCCAGAGGGAAAGGCCAGCATGGCCAGGAGCAGCTTCATTACCAGTTAATGTTCACTGACTGTACAGGGAGCTCAGCCCGCAGGGACCATTACATTTAACTGGGCGGCCGATTAATCAAGTATTTAAACAGATGGTGCTCAGAAGAGCTCCTAGAAATGGGGAGGATCCAGAGGGAAAAGTAGAGCCCTCTAGTTGGGGCAGAGAGCCCCACCCTCTAGCAACTTAGGAACAGGTGAGGTTGGCAAGGCCTCCAGGGATGCCCCCAGCCCCAAATCCCCAAGCTCCCACACACCCCCTCTTCTGCCCCGTAGGCCTCAGCGTCCCATCTGCACAGTGGGGAGTCAGTGAGCAGGAACAGCCTCACACAGACCTCTGGTTCTCAGCCAGGGGCCCTGCCATGAGGGAACTTGGACAAGCTGGGGTTGTCACTGGGATTGGGGTGTTCTGGGCATCTAACGGGGAGAGCTATGATTGCTAAGTGTCCTGCAGTGCATGGCCCCATCCAGCACCAGGAAGCAGTACCCCCACCCCCCAATGCTAACAGCAGCCCCAAGAGAAGCATTTTGCACCCAGCAGGCTTAGGAGTGGGGTTCCTGCTACAGGCTGTTCTCTGGTTTCTGGTGGAGTGAGCACAGAAAGAGGGAAATGACCCCACCCTGCCTGCCCTGGGTTGACCAGGTGCTCTCCAGCTCGGCCACTGGCAACAGCTGTGTCCCTGCTGCCACCAGGCCCAGGCTGCTTGCTAATAAGCTTTCTAACGGCCGCTCCACAGCCCAGACAACAGCCCGATCTCAGCCCCCATGGGATCAGACGCAGCCACATCCAGCCGCCCGGAACAGCCTCCTCCAGAATGAGGCATCCAGGGCAGGCTGTCCCCGAGGAGGGCAACCCTAGGGTCACTGCCCAGAGCAGATCCAGGACTCCATCACCCCGGAGGGTTTTCAGAAGGACCCAGGGACCTGTACCCTCCACCACTCTCTACAAAATGGCCAGAGGCTGGGACGCCAGTTTCTAAAGGCTGGCCTGGCTGTGCTGGGGACGCTGTGACCTCTTCACCACCCTACTCACCTGGGGAGGAGTCGTTCAAGCCCATCAGGTCATTCGCCCTCTGGATCTTCTCCAGGCACATGGCTTGCTCCTTCTTGAAGATGCAGTCAGAGTGCATGGCGGTGGCCTGCAGGGACACATGGGATGGATGGGAGGCGAGAGCAGGACGCTCCCCCACAAGCCCTGCTACCTAAGCCCCGGGGCAGTGTGGAGGGTGGGGGGCGGAAGCAGGACGAGGACAGTCCCAGAGAGATTTCGGGGCCAGCAGGGGCCACAGATACCATGAGGGCTCTCTCCTTCACCAATTCAGCATGTGGCCTTCAGTGGATTCCACTCTTCCCTGGGTCTCAGTTTCCACGTGTTGTAATAATATTAGCAAACACATATACAGCACTGTACTGTGTGCGTGCATTATTCTGTCTTATACATACATCGCTCAAGAGCACTACAAAGTGGGCACTATTTTCATCGTTCTCCATTGGACAGATGTGAACCTAAGCACAGAGACATTAAGTGACTTTCTCAAAGTCACATAGCTTAGTAGGCTGTACAGCCAGGATCCGAACCTAGGCAGTCTGGCTCCAGAGACCACGAGGCTATTACTGGACCTCAGGGAAGCAAGCAGAGGGTGGGAGAGAGAGGAGGCTGAGGGAGCTCATCTTCTCTCTCCTCTGGGAGCTCAGGAGGAGGTGCACCCCCAGGGGCTGTGGGCAAAGGAGCACTGGTTGCATTCAGTGGGACCCACAAGCTGCTCTCATTCACTCCTGCCCCCATTTTACAAAAGCAGAAACCAAGACTCAAAAAAATTAAATGTTCCTGCCCAAGGTCACACAGCTAGTTAGTGGCAGGCACTGGATTTAAGCATAGGACCAAGTAACTTCAAAGTCCATGACAGCTGTGTTCTTATGCTGTCACTTTAAGGTAAAACTCTGGGACAGGGATGGCTCCTCAAGGGGATGTCTGCAAGTGCGGGGGCAGGCTCAGGCATTTGAGCCACCAAGGACAGTGCTGAGGGATCCGGTTGAGTTTTGACTATTCACAGCTGTGCAGGCTTCCAGGGAGAGGGGCGAGGTTCTCTGTGGTCACACAGTAAGGCAGAACAGAGACAGGACTGGCATCCAGGTCTCTGAAGACAGCTGCATCGACTGCTGGTCTAAATTCCCAAGTTGAGGGGCAGAGGTCAATGCCGAGGAGCCCTCCTCCCCTACCCTTCCCTTGTTAGGGAAGAGGCATAAGTAAAGAGCAGGCTTCTGAGCTCTAACCTGGCAGAGACTATGGGCTAGGGCCTGGGATCAAAAAGCTTTCTGCAGCTGTGACTAGGGCCCCTGCATACAGTTGAACAGGTTGTACACTGTACAACTCTAAAGATTGCTACACATGCACCATCATAATAGACTTGTAAATTGTGTCAAAATTTCTAATCAAATCAGTACAGGGTTTTGAGGAAGGGCCACCCTTTGTAATTCACCCAAAGGCACTGAATGACCCAGTAGGGGTTCAGGCAGAGATACCAGCCAGCAGAACTGAGCTTGGCTGAGGACACACAAAAGACACAGGTTCTCTGGGGTGTGGGCTCCGGTGAGCCTGGGGCTCCAGTGGGTCATGGAGGGGAGGGTCTGGGCCCTTACCATAGGCAGCAGGAGGAAAGCAGCCAGGGAGGCCTGCAAGATGCTGGCCATGACGCTTCTCAATCCAGAAGGAGACTGAGGCCAGCACTGCCGGCCTCCCACTCAGAGCAGCCGCTGGTCAGCCCCACGGTGTCTATGGGCTAGAGAGAAAGGAAGACATGAGTGCCGTGGGTCCCCTGGCAGGGACAGCCCTTCCGCCTGACACCCCCTTACCTGAAGCAAGGCTCTCAGCCTCCAAGGGTAAGCCCCTCCCTGCCTTTGTTCTTCTTCCAAACAAACATCTGCTGAGCACCTACGCAGTGCTAGGCACTGGGGATACAGTGCGGAGCACATGGGCTTGGGCCCCCATCAGGCCACCAGAAGGGTCTGCATTTCCCCTCAGTAGCAGACAACTGTCTCCCCCTCTCTCTCTCCACGCGACAGAATTTTAGCCGGCACGTGCGTGCCAACCTGGAGAGGACATTCCGTAGTCCTTCCTGCCCGCAGGTGTGGGCCTGTGACGAAGGTCCCACCTATGGAATACGGGTGGGAGTGACAGGTGCCACCTCTGGACCCCTTGTCCACGAGGCAGTACCTGCTCTTGGCTTCTGCTCTTTCACCCTGCCCAAACGCCAGGGCTAATCCCTGGGGCATGGGGAGCCACGCACCGAAAGGAACCGGATCATCGCGAACACCCCACCAGCCTGGAAGGCCTCCCTAGCTCCAGACTGCTACGTGAGAAAGAACTGCACTTCAACTCATGTGCTCACCACAGAGCATCGCTTCGTTCCAGCTGCCAAGCCGGCCTGCTAATAGACGTAACCTCCTTTCCCCCTGCCTCAGCCCACTCGGCCTCCAAGAGAAAGCCTCTACCATCATGACATGCCAGACAGCGACTGCTGAAGAGCACGCTCCAAGGGGGGAGGTCCCTGAGGACTGGGGCTGCTGGTGGGGACCGGACAGGGGACCAGGAGTCCAGCAGGGAGAATGTGGGAGCTCTGGCACATTCCCAGGGGGTAGAGCCTGGTCTGCTTCTAAAATTGATCGTTAGCATGTATTCCTTTCAACCCAGCAATTCCGCATCTGGGTTTTTATCGAAAAATATTTGCACTCGCCCGAAAAAAAAGCATGTGCAATGATAGTTACTGCAGCATCACCTAAAATAGCATCCACAGCAGAAAATGAAGCAACATAGCATCCATCAAGCAGGCCCAGTTAAGAGGCCCCGGCAGCCATGCTAGGGAATACTACACAGTAATTTAAAAATTATTATTTGTATTCCTATTATTATTAAAACAATTCAGTCGGCCGGTGTCAGGGCCCCCACCATAGGTGCCCGGTTCAGAGACCCATGGGGGGCTGCACCCCAGCCATTAGTCTCCGCATAACGCCCCTCACTGGGCAGAGCTGCCATGACCCTGGTTCCCTTTGTGCCCCTGGCTTGCTGCCGACCCTCTCTCCTAGCTTCTCCAAGCTCACTCTGGTGACCAGCAAGTACCCAAAAAGGAGAAAGAAAACAAGCCCAGGATAGCTCAACAAAAAGGAGCCCTGTCTTACCCACCTGTTGCTCTACCTACTCAGGGCCCACTCAGAGATGTGGAGGGAGGCCTCAGGTATCCCCAAGAAATGCTCTGAGAAGCGCAGGGGGCCCTGAGGATGCTGGTGTAGGCTCTCCCTTATGGGTCAGGAAGGACTGGGCAGGCTGGGGGGAGCGCCGGCCCCAGCATCCCTGGGCACCCCGAGGCACCATCTATGCTCGACTCTCAGGCCTGGGTTTCTATACCCATTCCCAAGCCCCCCCCCCCACCTCTACTGGGCATGGGCTGCTTCTGGCATGACCCGGCACTGCTGGTCCCCAGTGGGCTCGGTCACCTCCGCTCTCCCTGGGGAGCCTAAAGCCCTGTGTGCTGAGGCAGGAGCTGACACTCTGACCCTCCTGGCTGGAACAGAGGGATGCCTAGCCCCCTGCCCCACAGCAGAACCCGCAGGCTGTCTCTCTCGGCCAGGGAAGGGCTTAGAGAAGCCACCGCAAGGCAGCAAACGTCTGCGATCTGCAGCTGACTCTTCCACACCTAGGACAATGTCAAGCCAAAGGCCGGTGAGATGTGAAGTCAGGTGGGCCCCCACCCAGGACCATGCCAGGGGGCCCCAGCACCTCCATCCGCCCATCTGGGGGGTGGGTGTCAGCAGCCCCAGCCTACAGCCTGCGCCTGGGCTCTGGCCCCGCACCCAGCCACAGCCTAGACCCTTGGCTTCTGTGGATCTCAGCTGTCTTAGCCAGGAGGAAGGTGACTCCTCATCTCAGCTCCCTTCTGGCCAGCAGGGCCCAGACAAGAGCCAGAGAAGGGATATGGGTGCACAGTCCGTATCACCAAGCAGACACAGCACTCCTTCCTCAGAGGCCACCTCCCTCGTACTCCCAGCCAGGTGCCACCAGAAACAGGGGCCAGCGGCTGTTTCTGTCCCTTGGGGGAGAGACCTCTGCCCTGGGGCACAGAGCAAAGTTCCTGGAGAAGGACATGTGGCAAGAGCACTCAGACATGAAATCAGGGCTCCCTGCTCTCAGCGACACCCTGAGATGGCAACAGCACTCCTGCCTCCTTCAGGATGGAGATCCCGCAAACGGAGACTGGCTGCCCCCTCCCTGAGCCCTAACCCCAGTCTGAAGACGTGCTCTGACCTCTTAGCCCACACTCAGCCCGGACCACCCATCAGGACCACCGAGGAGTGAGGAGCATTTAAAAACACCCCTGCCCAACTGAGTCAGTCTCTCTGGGGCGGGAGCCCGGACATCGATGCTGGTTTTGGCTCTCCAGGTAACTCTCATGGAGAGTAGGATTTTAAAGCCCCTGTTTTGACCTTTATTAGAACTCAGGGAGCTGGTCCGGAAGACCAAACAGCTTCCACGACTCCGGTTGCTCTAAGGGCAAGTGGGGGGCAGCAAGCAGGCAGAGAATGAATCTGTGTTTGAGAGCTGGCTGATCTCTGATTATCTCCTCTCTCTCTCTCTCTCTCTCCCTCCCTCTCTCTCTCTCACACACACACACATACACAAATACATAGAAACAGGTCCACAGAGAAGAGCATAAACACATGTCAACCCCACAGAGACAAAGAGAGACATTTACCCCCAGGGCACCCACTTGAGGCATCGGTACGCTGCCATGCATGGAATACGCAAAGGGGCAGATTCCTTCAGGGGCTGGCAGACAACTCCACACACACTCTTGCACACTCGCCTTCACAGAAACGCAGAAGCACATACAGAACACAGAATGAAGATACGTACAGATGCAATCAGACGGCGGCGCAGAGACTCGCGTATGTTTATCAGATTCTTGATCTATGTAGTGACACACACCCCGATTCTGCAAAGGCATTCAGATACACAGAGGCAATTAGCTCTCTCTGGATTCAGGCACAGGCGCACACACAAACATGCGCACATGCCCACGCGAGCACGCACACGCTCACGCACTCACACGGGGACGCCGGGCTCGCAGGATGCTCCTGCCCGCTCTCGGCAGGCCCCGTTCCTCGGCCACAGCTGCACTGATTCAAAACAAGCCGAAGCGGAGGGCCCAGCCCAACCATCCCCCAGCTCTGCTTTGTCACTAGGCTGCTTCGGCAAGGATGGGAAGCAGCCCAGTGACGCAGGGTGGAGGGGCTGGGGTATGCTCAACACGGGGCCTTATCTGGAACTAGACCCGGGTTCCCCATTCCCACCGTTGCCCTCTTTTTTTTTTTTTTAAGTGAGATATAACTGACATATAAGGTTATATTAGTTCCAGGTACACGACGTAACGATTTGATATTTATATATATTGTCACCACAGTAAGCAGAGTGAACGTCGTCACCACACGGTTACAACATTTTTCTCACGATGAGAACTCTTAATATCTACTCCCTTAGCCCACTATTGTCTCTTGTTCACTCTCCCCACCACTCCCCTGCCCACTAGACTCACCCACGAGAGAGAGCGTGGGAGCTCCCGGGCCTAGATCTTCCCACGCCCCCACGCTGGCTGGGGACCTCAGGGATCACCTTCTCCAGCTTCTCCAAGACGACAGTCTCCTCAGCCCCTTCTGGCACTTCTGCCCGCCCCGCTGTCCACGCTCTGATGCCTCCCTGCCCCATCCTTGTTGGACAGTGCTCAGAGTTTACAGCTGGAGGCCACCTGCCCCAAACCTGCTCCTCTTGTGGGCCACAGGCCTGGTGCCCCTGAATGCGTCCCCCGGGCCTGTCACCTGCAGCCCTGTCAGTTGCTCCTCCTCCCCCTTGTCCTGGCTGCCTTCTCCCTCTGCACTCCCCCAGCCTGCCAGTGACCCTCGCCCAGGACGAGGCTAGGCCCGGCCACTGCAGTCTAGGGTTGGACTCTCCCCTCCCTGAGGATGAACACCGGGCTCTTTCGGCCCAGCCACGCAGCTGGCTCAGGATGACCTGGTCACCAGTATTCCTGGGCTTGCTCTCTTGGGTCCAGCCTCTGCTGGGGCAATTGGCTTTTGCAACTGATCTGAGAACAATTAAACTCTACTCCCTGGCATTTATGGTGGTGGACGTGGGGACCATTTTGCCAGCGTTTTAAGCCTTAGGACTTCAGGCATGCCCGTTCTTCCTGTGCCTCAATTTGACTGTCTGTAAAATGGAAATAATAGTAATGCCTATCTCATAGATACTACTGTGAGACACCAACAAATTCACGTAAGTAAACTACAGAGTATATAATATAGCCTGGTTCCCAGTAGGGCATTAACCGTTACTGATTTCTTACTATTGTGTTCAGGTTTTTGCACCTCTTGCTGTCACCTCTGTCCCCATAGCCCTGTGTCACTTTTAAAATGGGAGCGGCAGGACCACTGCACCTTTATTTGCTAATGACTAACATTTATTAAACACTCAGTATGTGCCACGCACTCTTCCAAGCCATCAGTTTGCATTAACTCCTTTCACCTGCCCCAAACCTTGAAGTAGTTACTAGCATTATCTTCACTCTATAGCTAAGGTGACTAAGGCACAGAGAAATTAAATAACTTCTCCAAGGTCACACAGCAAATAGGTGGTAGAGCTGGGAAGGGAACCCAAGCAGGCTAGCTCTAAAGCTTGAACACTCCATCCTTACCCTCCTGCCATTCTCTGTTTCTGATAAAAGGAAGATCAGCTCAGAACTCATTGTATGTTATTAGTGATCCTTCTCACACCTTTGGGGATTGGTCAGACCTTCTGCTACCCCCTGCCCATATTTCTACATCTGTAATACCTTCCTTAGAAAGAGTTCATTATAGACACACCATTTCACACCTGAGATGGACTTTAAAGGCCACCTTCCATTATTACTACTGAGTTCTCCTGTGGGGAAACTGAGCCCAGAGAAGAGGAGATACTTCCCAAGGTCCCACAGCAGAGAGTACTGGAGCCCTGCCTGGCAGGAATGGATGTGTGACAGATACATGGTCTAGAGGGGAGTCTGCTCCCCTGTCCACACTCGGGAGGCCCTCTTCGGGCCCCTCCAGCCCAGTGACTGATGGCAGCGGGAAGAGACGAGAGCAGCCATGTCCTCCGGGGAACCACTGCACCAAGCACACAGGAAGACAGCATCAGCAGTCAGCACACCGGAGCTCGTGGTGACTCACAGGGCTCCCACTTTCCCCTCGGAGTGGGAGGGGACTCTGACACCCTCCAGCCACTCCCCTCTGCCCTGCACCCTGCAGGACCCTTTCTGCTGCACCCCAGCTGAGGATGGCTCAGCTCCTGGGACGGGGTGCTCACCCCCCTCCAGCGGCTGGTCCAAGGCCCTCAGAGGAAAGCTCTGATGTCTTTCCACCATGGCCTTCCGGGCCAACCTTTGCCTTCTGGACGCCCCCACAGTGGGAGGGGAGCATTCCACCCTCCCTCTCCCTTGGGCCACATAGATCTAGGTCCTTCTTCTGCCCTCATGGGGCTGGGGCCCCATGAATTCCTCTGGCTGCTCAGCATCCCTCCCTGTCACCAGGCAGTGCCAAGCCTGACACGAGACAGATGACCCACAAGACGTGGCTCACTGGCCTCCCTTGCTCACCACATACTCCTTTTAATGCACCTGAGCAGGACCTGTCCCCCACTTCCTCCTCTCCCTCCCATGGCAGGAAAGCAGGGAGGGAAGACTGAAAGATAAAATGTTACTCACCCCACCCCCACCAAGTTCACCCCTCAAAAGTAGGGTACTACACTTGCTTCTGGGAAGGAACAGGGAAACCTCTAGAACCTCTTTCCTCCTCAACAGAGTCAGAGCTGATAAAGGACAGAGCCCAACGCTGACTAAAGGGCATCCTGTCAATCGCAGGATTAATCATTAATGCTGATGCTCCTCCGGGTGTTCAAACCTTCCCCTTTCAAAGCCTGGCTACTGGAGTCCTGTGCACAGGAGGTGACAGAACCCAGGTCCCTGGAAGGATCCCTCATGATTCCACCCACACCCTCCACTGGGACATGTGGGAAACTGGGGCTCAGGGCAGGGAAGGGCTGGGCTGGAACGCACGTGTACACGTTGGTGGTGTTACCCCATCACACTTGTGAGGGTCTGAGGCCCCGAGAAACCAGGAGACTTTCCCAAGGTCATGCTGCAAAGCCTTTCCAGCTGACTAGTCCAGGCACCTCTGCTGTCCTGGAAGGGGTGCTGGGAGTTCGATGCCAGGGAGAGACCCGCCCCCCTCCACCCATCGAGAGTGAGAGGGGAGAGGAGGGGAAGGATTTAGCAGAAGATAACAGAAGGGAAGAAAGAGTCCGTATAGCAGGGAGGGGCCTGGTGGAAGGTGGTGGGAGGCATGGAGCAGACTCTTGTTTGTTGAGTCTCCTGAGCACCTCGCAGGCAGGGAGGGACTGAGAGTGCCTCTCTATCTGCTGACCCTTGTCAACCAGCAGTCCCTCCTGAGTGGGTATGAGCCCCTAAAAGGCAGGGCCAGCTCTGATTTGCATGGGCCCCCGACATACAGTGGGGGCCTGGGGATCTCAGCCGAGCACCTGGTGGATGGGCTTGGGAAGGTGACTTGGGGGTGCTGAGGGGCTCAGCAAGATGTCAGGAGATAGGGGTGGATGAGAGGATGGGAGGTTGGTGCCAGTTGGCGGGTGCCAGGGACACTGCAGCCTTGGTCCCAGGGTAGGACAGGAGCACTGAAGAGCCCTAAGCTGGGGAGTGAAGTAATAAGCTTTCCATTGAGGCAATATTCCTCAGAAGGCTGGCAAGCCGAGCAGAAGAGGAAAAACCCACATTGAGGCCATTTTCTGGACTCAGAGTAGAGGTGAGGGTGGCCTGGGCGGGGAAGGGCAGCTGGAACGGAAAGCAGGGAACAGAATCCAGAGACACAGGGAAAATGGGAGAGGAAAGTCTCCCTGGCCCACCTCGGACAAAACGGCAGGAAGGAAATGTCAGAAGGGAACACAAGGGAAGGGAAGAAACCAAAGGCAAGACCTGGTTCACTACACAGCCTTAAATCAGAAGTTGGGAAATGTGCAGGAGCCTACAAAGGAGCTATGTTTTTTTTTGTTTTGTTTTGTTTTTTCTCAGCCAAGCCTCTGAGGTGCCTATTTGTCAGGGCCGAAGGTTGAGGACAACGAAGGCAATGCATGGCACTGGGATGAGAGCATCCAGGTATTCCTCAAGGTCAAAGCCACCTCCCACCACCATCTCTAGGAAGCCCACACTCGCTGCATCTGCCTCCACTGATCTCACCCTTGTCTGAGAAACACCAGCCCTAGCTAAGGAGACCCTCCCTCCTGCCTGGGCTGTTTCAGGTCCCATCCTGCTCACTGAATTTCAAATCTTGTTGGAAACATGGCACATGTCCAGGTGTCCCTGCATCTCCCTCCTGGTGGAAGTCGGCGTGGATCTGGACACAGAGGGTGAATGGGAAAGGGGAACTCGGGACCTATTTGGTGAGCTGAAGTGACACAATGTCATTTCATGTTCATGAATGCTGTCTCCAGGTGTCCTTAGAGTAGATTTACCACACAGACACAGCAAAGGCCTGTCTGGGGTGGAGTGCTGAGACCAGGCAGGGAGGCTCTCCTGGCCCTGGCCCATTAAGCAGATGGGCACCCCGAGCTCCAGGCAGAGTGGAGGGAAGCATCCAAGGCCCCCTAGGGCAGCTCAGGCTCCCGAGGACCAAGCCCTCCCTCCTTTAATCTTTTAAACCACTTTTCTTCTCTAACCTTCCTCCGGCCCAGAGGTTGGCAAACACTTCTAGCAGGTCAGACCTAACCTGTCACTTACTTTTGGACAGCCAGGGAGCTAAGAATGGTTTTTACATTTTTAAATGGTCAGGAAAAATTAAAAGACTCATATTTCATGACACATAAAAACTGTATGAAATTCAAACATCAGTGTCCCTAAGCAGAGTTTATCAGAACCCAGACATGCTCATTTGCTTACGTATCACCTATGGTTGCTTTCCCACTATGACAGCAGAACCGAGTAGGTACCACAGGGTGAACGGCCAGCAAAGCCAAAGTGTTTACTATCTAGCCCTTTACAGAAAAAGTGTGTCAGCCCTCCATCGAATCTCATGCCACACATACACTTTCTCTGTCCGATGCCGCGTGCATCTGGACTTTCATTACGGAAGACTTTCGTGATCTTCCTAGGGCAAGTGTCTGAGTCCCCAGGTATGCCCAGATCTGGGTGAGACAGTGTGTCCCAAAGCCCGTACGTCTTTCTGCTGTTGCGTGTCCCACCCCAGCTCTCTGGCAGGTGTCACTGGAAACCTACATGCCTTCCCGGCAGTGTGTCACTCCCTCTTTGTGTGTCACTGTGGGGGTGGCTGTCACCATGTGCCTCTGACGGCATCCAGGGCTCAGTACAAATGTTGCTGCTGAGGAGTTTCCAAGCCTTTATGTTGCCAGGCAGCTGGACCACTAGGCCCAGCATGTTCAGTCTCTGGACTCAGATTCCTCTGTCCAGGGGCAGCCAAGGTTTCAGGCCCTACCAGTGTAGAAAGCCCCCAGGCAGCCCCGTTTGGGGTATCAGACCTCTGCTCACATACCTCCCGAGACAGGAAACCCACTGTCACCCCAGGGGTGGGCTCTGCACTGGGCAGCTCTCAGGGAAGCGAGGCCTTCCTGGCACCGAGCAGAGCTCCGGCTCTGTGCTTGGCACACCTTGGCTCTGCCCTCCGGCAGACAGCACAAAGTGCCCTCCACTTAATCGGAGCCAGCCCTCGGTCACGGAAGACTTCGTCCCTGGGTCGCCAGAGGCCTGGGACACTCAGTCTGAGGCCACATCCCCAGGAAGAAAGCCACCCTGTAGCCTGAGCTCTTGTTCTTCCTAGCCTCTCAGCTGCACATACTGATCTGTAAATACCCATTTTATGTGTTTGTTTAGTCAACGCGAATTGAGGGAGTGTCCCAAAGTAGGGGCATGGCAGGGAGGGGTGGCCACATGAAAAAAAAAGGGGGAGTCCCAAAGTGTTTCTCCAATCAACCCCCTGCCAGACTGAACTTTACACAGAAGGGGACTTTAATGGAAGCTCTAGCCTGATTAGTCCTCAGAATGCAAGGAAGAGTCCCTCGAGAGGCTCCCCACAGAGACCTGTCCTCACTACACATAGGGGCAAACAGACCAGAGGGAGACTGCCCAGATACAGACCCACCAATTAATTATCCATAGAGGAAGGGACCAGGTCCACATCCCTGGTCACCTCACAACCTGTTGATGGACTGGCTGGAAGATTTGGCTATGGGCCCACCCCAATGTGTTCTGTCTCTAATCTGTATGTTCCAATTTCGGTTTGTATCCAGACTGGCACCTCTCCTTGCCCTCCCCAAGGTCAGCAGGGAGCAGGAGCCCCAGAGTCAGCTGGGCATTGGGGGCTCTGCCAACCCCACCTGCAGCCAGCACCAAACTGAGATTGGAGCCTCCTGAGAAAATCTGGGTGCTGCTGCTGCCCACCCCCCAAGCTCATAAATAGGTTGTCATCCTCTTCATTAGTTCACATACACTCAAAAGCCTCTAGCCTGACCTGATGCTTGTCTCTCTCTGCCCAGCAGCAGTCCCAAGGCAAGGGGCCCTCCAGAGACCCTGTGTAGCCCCATCCCATCCCCCAACCCCCCCCCCCCCACACACACAGGGCTGTTCATCAGAAAAGCTAAATGCTGTGTCTTTTCTTTTTTAAGGGGGAGGGGGGATGCTTGTGGGACACTGTAACGGGGGGGGGTAAAGTCAGGGAGACTAACTGCACTAAAAGCATAGAAATGGTTTGGAAAAGTCACAGGGGTCCACCACCCCTCCCCCCAGGCAGCTTCCTAAGGGGGCCTGAACTCCTTCCAGTGGTGAGGTTCCACTCCCTAGCTCCGTGTGAAATGCAATCAGCCTCTGGCCGGGCTCCCTCCTGAGCAGCTAGCTTCATCCACTGGAGCCCTGGCCCCTTCTGACCCGCTCAAAGCGCCAACGTCCCGCCCAGGATGTGGCCCCCGCCTCCCGCAGCTGCAGCAGGAGCCTGTGCCTTTAAGGCGGCCGGCAGGGGTCTCGGGCTAGCCCACTTCGGCCCAGGGAAGCCGGAGCCTTTCTCCCACAGGCCCCCTTAGGGCGTTCCCTGAGAGACCACCTAAGCCCAAGCATCAAGACCCCATCCCCTCTGCGCCGCGGGAAACCGAGAGACGATGCTCTTCTGAACAATCCCAAATGTGTCACTATAGGCGGACATTCTAGGCTGGCCCCTACACCCCCCCCAACCCACCCAGCACATCGCTTGCCCACCCCTCAAACCCCGTGAGGACCGCGGTAGCCAGCACCCAGAGACCCTCCAGCGTTGCCTTCCCGATCCGCGTAGGCGCGTCCCTCTGCCTTGGGAGTAGGGAGACAGGCTCCTCTGGGTCCCTCTGGCCGCAGTGCCTTTCCTGCCCCTGGTCCTCGCTCTGGCACGGGGAGGGGCGAGAGGAAGCCCCTGGGGGCTGCAGGGATCGGCTGCCCAAAGTACTATCCCAGATACTGGGGGGTGGGGGGAAGGGGGGGCGTTGTCAGCCCGTCGCGCAGGAAGGGAGCAGCAGCGGGAGGGGGCTTCATTTCGGATTCGGCAGGTTGGCCCGCGCTGGCCCCGGCCCCGCTCTCAGTCCGTGGAGGACGCGGCTTGCGGGGATCACCGAGCTGGAGGAAGGGGTCCGCTGTCCCCCGGGAGCGGGGGGAGCGGGGGGCGAGGGTTCTGGATCGGGAGGGGGCGGGCGGGCCGTGGAGGGGCAGGGGCGGCTGGGCGGCCCTTACCTGCTCACAACCGGGCCTCGCCGCGGGGCTGTGGGCTGCGGGGTGGCCCGGGGCAGACTCCGCGGGGGAAGGGCGCACAGCCCCGAGT